AAAAAAAAACCACGAAGAATGCGTTGGACTTAGTGCCACTGATAAAGACGCACTGATATTTGCATCCGATGCGAAGATTAGATTAGATGATTCAGCTAATTGTTGATATCACCTCAGAAGTGCCATTAATTACATCATTTGTTAATCTTAGAAGATATTTTTGTTTTTTAGTATCGACAAGTTTTCTTCTGTTATTGTCTGAAGAAATATTTTTAAGTTTAGTTATATGAAGCCAAACTAGAACTTTTTCATAAGAAGAAGAAGTACCATTGATTAAATTTGTTGATATTAGAAGACATATTTTTTAGTTTCGCTAAGTTTTCTTCAGTTATAATTGTCGATTTGTTGATCTCACGAGATATTTTTTAATTTTAGCTATGTTTTCTTTTGTTATCTGAAGAGTTATCTTTTTAAATAAACAATTTTAATATTATAGACACTATATATTTATTTAACTTCTCATTTCTTATATTAAGTTCCCTTTTATTTTTCACTTACGGTAAATATGCCCATAGTATGAGCATATTTACAAACCCGGTCGGAAATATGGTAATTTTCCATATTTTTGAAAAAACTTTTGTAGTCCAAAATATTATAATATAATAAACTATTTGTTCTAGACATGTCATAGATAGATAACTTATACAAAACGATAATTTTTGTTCCCAAGTCTTGTATAATAAAAGTTACGTGAGTCCAAACCTTAAGATGACCATATTCGACCCAGGTACCTTATTTTTTCATTTCTCAGTAGACAGTAACAAAGATGCAAGCGGCCGACAACAAATTTCGCTAAAATAGCGTAGTGACCGCTGCTCAGTCATATTGAATTTTTGAAATATTTTTTTCATTTCTCAGTAGACAGTAACAAAGAAGCAAGCGGCCGACAACAAATTTCACTAAAATAGCGTAGTGACCGCTGCTCAGTCATATTGAATTTTTGAAACTATTTTTTTCATTTCTCAGTAGACAGTACCAAAGAAGCAAGCGGCCGACAACAAATTTCGCTAAAATAGCGTAGTGACCGCTGCTCAGTCATATTGAATTTTTGAAACTATTTTTTTCATTTCTCAGTAGACAGTAACAAAGAAGCAAGCGGCCGACAACAAATTTCGCTAAAATAGCGTAGTGACCGCTGCTCAGTCATATTGAATTTTTGAAATATTTTTTTCATTTCTCAGTAGACAGTAACAAAGAAGCAAGCGGCCGACAACAAATTTCGCTAAAATAGCGTAGTGACCGCTGCTCAGTTATACTGAATTTTTGGAACTATTTTTTTCATTTCTAAGTAGACAGTAACAATGAAGCAAGCGGCCGACAACAAATTTCGCTAAAATAGCGTAGTGACCGCTGCTCAGTTATACTGAATTTTTGGAACTATTTTTTTCATTTCTCAGTAGACAGTAACAAAGAAGCAAGCGGCCGACAACAAATTTCGCTAAAATAGCGTAGTGACCGCTGCTCAGTCATACTGAATTTTTGGAAATATTTTTTTTATTTCTCAGTAGACAGTAACAAAGAAGCAAGCGGCCGACAACAAATTTCGCTAAAATAGCGTTGTGACCGCTGCTCAGTCATATTGAATTTTTGAAACTATTTTTTTCATTTCTCAGTAGACAGTAACAAAGATGCAAGCGCCGACAACAAATTTCGCTAAAATAGCGTAGTGACCGCTGCTCACTTATACTGAATTTTTGGAACTATTTTTTTTTATTTCTCAGTAGACGGTAACAAAGCAAGCGGCCAACAAATTTCGCTAAAATAGCGTAGTGACCGCTGCTCATACTGAATTGTCGAGATTGTTTTTTTATTAGACGGTAACACAGCAGACCGAATTCGCCAATAAAGCGAAATGACCGTTGCAATAAGTTAACGGTAGCCGAGACTGTATAAACTTTAACAAACAGAGGAGGGAGTTAGAAGAGAACAAGACTTGAATTCGTCCACGAGAATTAACTCAGAAAGTAAATTACATTTATATTATATATAAAACTCAAACGAACCTCAGGCTACTTTGAATCAACTTTTAAATTCGAAAAATGGTATCAACAACACATTTACAAAAAAAAACTGTAAGCCAATTTAAAATTTAAAGGCAAACAATATGACAATTTGAGTCAGATGACTGAATTAAAGTCACAATAACCAACACACCCACGTGGGTACCATCTCAAACAGTGTTTACGTTTGATGGTTAAATTTTACCTAAACGTGAACTCATGTACAATTCCATGCCTGTTAAAATATACGCGACTATCCAACGCTTTAAATGTTGCCGCTTTAGGCACACCTAGGTCCAATGTAGGTCAAATTCCAGATGCTACAAGTGTGCACACTGGAGATACTTGTAATGTGGAGAAAGACAGTGGTTCTTTTTGTTTATGCTCTGGACTACACTTTGCTTCATAAAAAGATGACCGGAATATGTGAGACAAATATTAAAGTAAAAATGGCAGAAAATAGTATATCTCATGTTAAAGCGTCAAAATTACATATTTCTAAATCATTTGCCTATATAGCATCCTCTCTCCCAATTAAATATCTTCCTGGTGGAAATACAGATTTGCCTAGTTCACCACCTCCAAGTACCATATCTTATTAAAAAACTTCACTAAACCCAGAACTTCTCCTAAACACAGTAAAGGTTTTGAACATGTCACTCATGAATTACTTCTAAGGGACTACAATATACCAGAGCCTATTCCAATGGATGTGCATTTCTATCATTTTCTAAGGCAAACTCAATCAACTACACTAACCAATTTACTTTTATTTTAATTACACTGATATTAATAAGAGCAAAGAGGACGACAAACTAAAAGATGGGAAGACGATCTACCAACGGGATGGCGAAGATTAGCGCGCGATAGATATGGAAGAAAATAGGGGAGGCCTATGTCGAAGGACAACCTGACACACAACTGGATGCTGGACAATAAACTCTACATACATATAATATACTAAATTATTCAAACTTTATATATTATAAATAGGTTTATTGGAATCACATTAAAATCTAATTTTGTAATTTTTCCCCCCTGTATATTTTTGATCTCCTTTGTAAATTTAATTCGATTTATTTATTTTATATCGCGATAAGTTTCTTACGATTTTTGCTACTCATAATCTGTAAATAAGTAAAATGACGATCATAAAAATCATTCTACTTAACGCAGGCTAATGCACAAACCGTGATGAAGCCAAAAATAAAGAAAAAGAAGTCACAAAAAATAATAATTTAGGCTTATATTCAATAATTATTATGGTACATATAATAAGCTGTAGATTTTTAGAAAAAAAAATAGAGGTTATGGAAGAGAATTAAAAAAAATTTAATAAGAACATGTACAAAAATTTAATGAGTTGCGATTCAATCTAATGACCTAATTGTAGGTTGTTACATTCGCTTTCAGTAAAAGAAATTCGGTTCCGACATACATTTACTTGTTTTAGGATTTTTAACGAAGTAACCCACAAAATTTATTTTACTACAAATCTCAAACCCAAGATACATTTGGCGCGTTTTTTTATTAATTTAAATGAAAATTAATCAGCAATAAATAATTACCAAGTCCAAATTATGAAATTTTATGTTTTGTTCATAAAAAAAATTAAAATTTTACTTTTCTGGTTAATAATTTCGGGGGTTACTATGAACTGAATTACAGACAGTAATACAAAAATTAAATAACATTTAGTTAAGAATAAGAAATTACTTATTTTACCATTTATGGTACTAGGTAGGTAAACTATCACCTAAAAGACAGAAGTTCAGCTCGGGCTGAAACCACCGTCAAACAGCAGTCAGCACGGCCTCAGCTCGGGCTGAGGCGCCGCAGTGACGCCGGCGCGATGCTCAGCTCTGAGGCACCGTCAAACAGCAGTCAGCACGGCCTCAGCTCGGGCTGAGGCGCCGCAGTGACGCCGGCGCGATGCTCAGCTCTGAGGCACCGTCTAACAGCAGTCAGCACGGCCTCAGCTCGGGCTGAGGCGCCGCAGTGACGCCGGCGCGATGCTCAGCTCTGAGGCACCGTCAAACAGCAGTCAGCACGCTCTTCCACTGCACCTGGAACTGAAATTATGGATTTATAGCTCTAAAAAAATACGTTTGAATAAATCAATTTCATAGAACATTATTAGGTTCCACTAGTTCCGATTTGGAGAACTTTCCTTTTTCTGTATACATAAAATTTACACTTTAGACACCACAAAAATACATATGCAAGTACAACAATAAAATAACAATTACCTGGCAATTACTTAACCTTACTCTTCTGCAGTATAAGGGCGCATACTAAATGTCACGTCTTCATATCTCCTGGCACCAGCTAACTGCATGCTCCCATAACTGCAACAAGTCCTAAAACACCAGTAAGTACACAAATAAGACACATCTAGCAGTTAAGAGCCAATGCTTTAGACGTTCGATTATTAAGAAACTAGAAATAGTTCTGAAAAGAACTTTTGTTATTGACGTTTATAAAATTCTATAGAAACTAGAGGTAGTTCTAAAAAGAACTTAATTTATCTTCTGATTAACATAGAAAGTAGTCAGTTCTGAAAAGAACTTTCGGTGCCCTTCAGATTACCATAGAAACTAGGCAGTTCTGAAAAGAACTTTTGTTATTGACGTTAATAAAGTTCTATAGAAACTAGAGGTAGTTCTAAAAAGAACTTAATTTATCTTCTGATTAACATAGAAAGTAGTCAGTTCTGAAAAGAACTTTTGGGGACCTTCAGATTACCATAGAAACTAGGCAGTTCTGAAAAGAACTTTTGTTATTGACGTTAGTAAAATGCATAGAAACTAGTGTTAGTTCTAAAAAGAACTTTTTTTTGGTCTTCTGATTACCAATGAAATGAGAGTAAGTTCTGACAATAACTCTTTACGATCTTGTAATTACCATAGAAACTAGGCAGTTCTGAAAAGAACTTTTTTCGATCTTCCGATTACCATTGAAACAGGAGGCAGTTTTGAAAAGAACTTTTGTTATTGACGTTACTAAAATCCATAGAAACTAGTGTTAGTTCTAAAAAGAACTTTTTTTTATTTTCTGATTACCATAGAAACTATTCAGTTCTAAAAAGAACTTTTTATTGACTTTTGTGGAGTTCTGAAACTGGAGATAGTTCTAAAAAGAACTTTTATTGATCTTCTGATTACCATAGAAACAAGATGTAGTTCTGAAAAGAACTTTTTTTAATTCACCTTTCTGAAATCCCATAGAAACTAGAGTTCTAAGAAGAACTTTTGCTTATATCCCACACTTAAGTAGTTCTGAAAAGAACTTTTTAACAGATAATTCTAGAACTAGACACATCTAGAGAGAGACTAGTACTACACTTGCACACTAAAATCACTTTTGTAGTAGTCAATCAAAATTACCCGTTATGTTTAAAAAAATAATAAATTTTAGCATATGTAAAAAATACAACCGACGTACTAAAACTTGGAGATGAACAAATATGTGCATATCATGTAAACTTCCTACTTGACTTGGGGTTGTAGGAATATTTAAAACCCCTTACTGCATTTTTTCTAAAATATAAAACAATGAATAATGAGTAAAAAAATATAGACAAATAATTTGTCTTTGTGGTAAATAAACCTACTACTTTTTAAGTTGTTGCAGAACGTAACAAAATTTATCACTGATAATTTTACACCTTGAGAAGTGTGGTAGGCCCGCTGTTTGCAGTTGTACACGATGTTGTATACCAGCTGCTTGCATTTGTTGTACACGATGATGTAGACCAGCTGCTTGCAGTTGTTGTCCACGATGTTGTAGACCAGCTGCTTGCATTTGTTGTACACGATGTTGTAGACCAGCTACTTGCAGTTGTTGTACACGATGTTGTAGACCAGCTACTTGCAGTTGTTGTACATGATGTTGTAGACCAGCTACTTGCAGTTGTTGTACACGATGTTGTAGACCAGCTGCTTGCATTTGTTGTACACGATGTTGTAGACCAGCTGCTTGCAGTTGTTGTACACGATGTTGTAGACCAGCTGCTTGCAATTGTTGTAGACGATGTTGTAGACCAGCTGCTTGCATTTGTTGTACACGATGTTGTAGACCAGCTGCTTGCATTTGTTGTACATGATGTTGTAGACCAGCTGCTTGCATTTGTTGTACACGATGTTGTAGACCAGCTGCTTGCAGTTGTTGTACACAATGTTGTAGACCAGCTGCTTGCATTTGTTGTACACAATGTTGTGGACCAGCTGCCTGTAGTTTTTGTTATAAATGTTCTTATGTGGAGAGACTCTTGCAAGATCAGAACTTGCCAATGAAGTTTGTAGCTCTTGGTCTAAAAGGCCTTGATGATCTTCAATAGTTTTCATTGATTCATGGTTCCTATTGGTTCACTCCGATGTTCATGCAGGCACTTCACTTATCACTTATATTTCATAAAAATGTTAAACATCTTTGTTATTTAAGTTTGCCTACAGTTAATAGAGAAAAAGATAATGTGAAATACTGTTGTACTAAGTAAATGCTGCCACTCTCATTGGGATGACAATCGCAAATGAAATTGATGATATTTTGATTGCATTACTAGACAAAACACACTCATAACAACTAGCACTAAGCCAACAGTTATGAGTTTAGAAGTCATTGTTACATTGGATTAATTTATATGTATATTTATTGTTATGTCATAAGAATTATGCACATATCTACCAAAATGCAGTAAGGAGTTTGTAATTTTTAACCTTTATTTTGTTTCAACACCTTAAAACTAAAATATTGTATTACAATACAAATCTAGTCCATTTTCCATAAGGAATCGACAAACTATATTTATCCTTTCAACTTATTAAAGAATAAATTCATTCCAGTACATTTTGAACAACAAATAACACTTTTTTTATAAGATTGTACTGCCATAAGAACTAAAGATGTACATGAGACCATCTCTTAACAGGAAGAGTCTAATTTCAAGGAAATAAAAATGTTTTATGACATTTTATAGCACAAGTAAAGAAATTTGTGTCCAATCTTACTAAGATTATAAATGTAAATGTTTAGATGGATGGATGTTTGTTTGAATGTATCTACGGAGTCACTCAATGGATCTTGCTTAAATTTAGTATAGATATAAAACATAGTCTGGATGAAGACATAGGCTACTAATTAAGTTTTTATTTAAATTCCGCCCAGATGGAGTCTCGGAAGACAGCTAGTCACAAATATAAATGAAAACATACATACTTCATTGAAATCCAATAAACAGTCACCAAGTCAGGTTACATCTATCATGCACAGAGCTGACTGCTGTTGACAGGCGCCTTGGCTCTGCATCTTAGCAACTGTGATGACACTGGATTGACCGCCAACATGTCTCCCATGACTCGAATCTGAAACTGACATTATCAATTATTAGAATTTCATTTATAAATTTATAGCTGTCACATCTGTGCGGAATTAAAAAAAAAAATAGTAGCCTATGTGCTACATCTACACCAAATTTGAGCGGGATCTGTTCAATTGTTCTGAAGATATAACATCAAACAAAATTCCATTTAAACGTTCACATTTATAATACTGCTAGCTGTCGTCGGCGACTCCGTACGCGTGGAATTAAAAACATAATTATTAGCCTATGTGCTCTTCCAGACTATGTTCTTTACCAAAACCATAATGTGTATAAAAACCCTGTGCACTAACCCCACATGACTGGAATTAAGGCAAGGAAGAAGAGTTTTATTCCTTTGTTGTTAGTTCAATAATTCAAGCATGTCTTTATATGGCAGCAAAATTTAGTGAAAACAATGCTACTGCCAAAACTAATAGACAAAAGATAGTCATTGGTCATTTATTTAGAAAAAAAAAGATGTTAAATTAGTAATTCTGCCCCAAGATATTGATTAATTGTTACACAAACAAGATCAGTGATAACTGTAGCTTAGTTTGTTTGTAGTTGTTGACATTTATTGCATATTTGTACTTTGTAAAATTGTTTATATTGATATCCAAAGAATTAAAATTATATCTATAATTGTTTTATACTCTAATAACTTTGAGAAATTGATTTTCTGTAAAGATCAACAAAAATAAAACATTAATTAAATAACACGTGAGCAAGTTCCATTATTTTAAAAGTCCGGAATTTTCTAGCATTTTTGACTCACCTTCATTAATAATTAAAGTTAATGGAAGAAATAATCCAAGCTATAGACATTAAATTAAATCCAAAGAATGCTAATATGTATATTATAAAACGAATAATGATATATAATTGTCTAAATAGTGAAAAATTTTGTCTTAAAAAATTTCGCCCGGCCGCCATTTTCTAAACTGTGCAAGGGTACGCTACGAAAAGTATACCATGAAATAGCAAAACGTTAAAAACAAATGTAATACGCTTTATAATGTCCATAAATCTCCACTAAAGATAAACAAACAGTAATTAAAACAAGACAATATATATCATCGTACTTTAAGTGTTTGTAACAAAGGATAAAAGGTAAAAGTTCCAAAATTTAAATCATTCCTTTACAAAATCTAAAATAACTTACATAGATGTACTTAAAAGCAATGAAAATTATGTGTACTTACAGTTTAGCAGCTATGAGTTGAGGAAACCGTAGCTCTTTCTCGAATTAAACTCTACAACTAACTACACCGTTCGACCACCGAGGAGACGACTAGAAAAAAAACGAATACATTCGGTTACCGGAAATAGGGTTGCAGAAATAAGAACCATGTTATTCGATACATCGAGTCAATTCGGAATTTAAAATTAAACGCTTTTAGTAGATTTAACTAAATACTTATATTAAAATACGTTATAAAATGGATCATGATGTTATTTTTTAAATTCGGTATGAATTAATAGAAGCCATATGTTTTTTTTGTTAGCCTATTGGGCAAACTGCAAACAGTGTGCTATGAACAAGTAAAAACGATTTTTTTACTATAATGACATTTCAAAATATAAGAAAGCCTTAATTAATTTAAAATAAGTAAATGGCAATATGATATTAATTTTAAGATTCACTTTTGTTTTGACATGAAGTTTTGTTATGTTTAAGTTTAATCAAATAAAAAACGATGGATTGACTATTTAAGAACATTTGTTTCGTTTTTTTTTCTATATTTTAAAGTCTAAAATATTTTAGAATATTATTACAAAGATTGTTCTATTTTAAGGTACGTTTTTCTATTATTGCTCACCATTTTACATAAGATTAGATCCGATTTTTAACTATGTATGTATGATTTTAAGACAAGTAATATAAGGTATTCTACAATAAAAAATATTTTTTGGTAACATCACATTAATGTTGTTTGGCAACAGCGCCATCTAGTATATACATTAGTATGTACATTATCTGACACCGCTAAGTTTCAAACGAAGCACAAACTTTATTTTTTTCTCAAGGAATGCAGCTAGCTTTTTAAAAAAGTATTAACTTTTTAATAAAAAGTAATACTTTTTAAAAAGTATTAATTTTTAAATAAAAAAAATTAAAATTTTATATTATTCGTTCTCCGCACTTTATTTCTGTTATTCTAAAAACAAATTACTTGAGCGCCATCTATTAGCGTTAGAATAAAAACTATCCCAGTCAAATTAAATTACCAACAGATAGCGCAACAAGTGTCATACCCCTGTGTATTAGGGATAAAGACAATCAACTTTTTAGTTTTTAAATAATAAATTGTGTTTATTAATGTCATAAAAGTTAATTAAGCAAAATACAGGTCGCGGCAAGAGAGGTAAAGAATTAGGCTTTATATTTTATAGATATTAATTTATTATTAAAAAACTGTCGTTGTTAGTTAGTTTGGTTGGTTGGTTGGTTGGGTAGATCGATCGATCACAGAGACATATCATAATAATGCAGGCAGTGATATGTT